GGGCGCACGGGTCCCCTCCTCACCTCTCCCCAGACCTAGACCCGTGCGCCCGCCGAGTCGAGGATAGGCAAACCCGCCCGCACCTGCGTCTTCTCTGAATCACCCGGTATATGTTTGTTTGATTGAAATTCTGTAGATTTATTCACAACTTACTGTATTGGTTTAGTCTGAAGAAGTGATTGGCAAATTACTAGATACATACGACTAAATTGCCCACTCGATGGACTCGTTGTTCTGAATGTCATGTGTCATTTCCCTGATCCCAACCCTTTCCATCCGCAGGTTTCGCCGCGGCGAACGAATGCAAGTCCAACGGCCGCTTCTGGGACGGCTGCAACTGGTGCTGGTGCCTGAACCACGAGGTCATGGGCTGCACCAACATGGCGTGCACGGGGATGCCGTACGAGGCCTGGCACCTGGACCCCAACAACGACCCCACCATCGGGCCACCGCAGCGGCCGGGCATGCTGAACTACCGGTCTGGCCACGGCAGGGTGGCGGACCCCTCCGGTAGGTGCTGCCGGGTCCTGCTGGTCCCATCGCAGAGCCGGGACGCCGGTGCAGTGGCTCGACACCGGCCGAATGCGCAGTACTGCTGCGCTGGGTTGCCTACCCACCCCGCGCTCTCAAAGCTCCGTGTCGCAGAGCGACGACCCCAGGCTTAAATAACCATGTTATCTTGTTCACTAGGAACCATAACATCATGGTAACTTTAAGATGGATTCTGTTAGTTTTCCCAACTGTTAACCTTGTTGTTTCATGGTTATCATTGATTACCATACATTGATCACCATAATACTATGGTCAATCAGCAATAAACCATGAGAGACCACGGACTACCATGTATTACCATAATTGAAATTTTACCATGGTTATGCCAGGGCGACGTCAAAACAATTGACGTCGGTACGATGTATCGTTTCGACAGTCGTTTCGCACTGGGGTGTTGTCCGACTGGCGACACGCACGTTGGCTGTGTTTGTCCGCTCGGCGGGCCGGGGCGCTCGTCGTGTTGTTCTTTGCTTTTGCTCTCAATTACTATCTCTCTCTCACTCCCCCACGAGGGGAGCGGTTCCCACGGACGGTGATCCGGACCACATTCTCGATGTTCCAGGGTGGCCGTGCCAGATAGGCTCGTCCTGGCTGGAGCAAGGCGGATGCGTCAAGTGTAATTGCAACAGAAAGGCGATCAGGTGCCGAGACTCGGGGTTGTGCCTCAACGGTGAGGTGAGTATCAGAGGGGCGCTCGGCAGGAGGCGCGCGTTGAGGGATACGCCCCGGATTCCTGCTGACTGTCTTTGTCTCCCTTTATCCAGTTGGTCTCGAACGACCTGGCGCGGGCCCAGATGGTGAGGCGGCGCCGGGACGCCGATAGCGACCCGGCAGCTGGTGCAGCACCTGCACCGGCCACGGCCGCTGCGCCTGTCGGGGAACCCACTGCCGCCGCTGTGGAGACCACCGCCGCCCCTGTCGCTGTCCCCACTGTGGCGCCCGTCGTGACCACTGACACCACCACAGCTATCCCAGCGGAGACCACTGCTGCACCAGCTGGAGCTGGCGCAGTTGATACCACTGATGTACCAGCTGCAGCTGTCGACGGCACCACCGCGTCGCCAGCTGCACTCGACGCGTCCAACACAACTCAGGCGCCGCCCTCCGTGGCCCTGCCGCCACAGAACACAGGTAGGTAAATGCCAGCCGGTGGCCGTCGGGTTTGCCGTTCTGATCGCTGGGGGTAACCCACTCTGCCGTGTCATAAAGGCGAGACTAACTATGTTCCCTTTTTCTTGCAGTGGTTAAAGAACGATCCTGCAAGTCTGGCTCCACCTGGGAGGAGGATTGCAACTCGTGCTGGTGTCTGGATAACGGGCGGGCGGCGTGCACCACCAACTCCTGCGACCAGCCCCAGCCCCCGGCGCTGCCGCTGTCCGTGGGGGGCGTGGGGGCCGCGGCCGCCGCACTGCCCACCTCCACCCCCGCCCCCACCCCCGCATCAGCACCCTCCCTCGCCCCGGTGGACGGGGCCGCTGCCACTCCCACCGTTCCCGCCCCGGCGACCTCAACGGCCGCCCCTGCGCCGAAGCCCGAGGCCGCCGCCCCGGTCGCCACACCGGCCACGGGCAGCAGGAGGAAGAGGAGGGTGGTCCTGGTGGCCACATGACGTGCGCAACGAAGGGCGTCTGGGTGTCGTTGAGGGAGTCGAGCGAGGCCGTAGGCAGCTTGTCGTGGACACGCGCTGACGTGGTCAGTTCAGCGTTCAGCCCAGGACGTCCTTGCTGCGGGACCCTCGCCCGTTCAGGTCACCGCGAGCGAGGCAGGGGCCCAGGACCCTGGGTTCTCCGTCTTGCGCTGCGCGGCAGGTCCGGCCGGGGGCTGCCGGTCCGGAGGCCCGGCCGAGAGTCAGAGCGATCCGTCCAACATCGGGAGAGGGACGAGGCGCCGCGCGCCGCATGGCGGGGCCGTAGCAGAACGAGATTGTACATTGAGTGGGGAGACGCGTTGTAAGATATGTCGATGTAAATAAATTATTTATGCTAATGATAAGAATAAATGAAATGCCAAAAAAGCACGAAAGAAAGAGAAGGTTATTCCCAACAGAATTAAGACTCTAAAAATGTGACTTATAGTCAATCGTTTTGACGGTGTCTCCGTCTTCTTTGTGAAAGGGTAAGCAGAAATGCGTGAATTTAAATTCACTCTCTTCTACCTGTCTCATCTGTCTCTGCCTCCCTCTCCATTTCTGATTCGACCATCGGCAATGCTGCGGACGTGAAATACTGCGATTTCCACAGAAATGATAATGCTGCACGCCCACGCTGTGCTGGCTCGGCGGCGCGGCGACGCTAGCGTTTCTCTAGGCGCGAGGCGAGCGCGAGGCGGGCGCGCGGGCACGGTGTGGGTGCAGCGCGGGCCGACGCGGGCGCAGCGCGGCGGGACGGGGCCGCGGCAGCCGCGGGCTGGGCCGGGCCGTGCTCCATGTGGGGAGGGACGTCCCGGCTGCGCCGCACTTTGGCGCCACACAGCACAGGTGTACCCCCGCCACCGCGGCCCGCCACGCCCTGGAGTCGGCCCTGTTGAGGTCATCGCAGCTGCAATGGACGGGGACGACGGCGGAGCGCGGTGCAGCTGCGCTGCCTTCCGGCCCAACCGCGCCGCGCAGCTGCAGCGGCCACGGCAGCTGGCGTGGGAGTCGCTTGTGGATCGACCAGGCCACACGGCAGCTAGGTGTGTCACAGTCACTTCGAAGCTCGTCTGTCGGAACCATGCATAGCGGGGGCGGGGGAAACCGCTCGCGTGGACAACTCAGTTTGCCTCTACTCATTCAACTGAAAATTCGATTAGTATCGTTTACATTCATATAGGGGAAAAGTCATTAATGAATCTGACGTTAACTTTTAAAAATATCACAAATTATTTAGTTAACTATAAGTCTACTTCTTTCTTCCGAAATCGGTATGATGATTGACGAGATGGAAGGAACAAAGAATAAACTTACACCTCGTTTTGTTTCATACGGTTTATTTTTGGTAAACCTTAACAAAAGTGAAACTGCTACTGAAGCACGTTTTCGACATCGGGACCCCCAATCGGGTTGACGGCAACACTTTCGGCAGCTGCAGTTGGCATCGAAAGAGAGAACTTCATTGGGGAGGGATCGACGGCGCTCCTCGGAGCAGCAACGCCCTTGTAGAGGACCTTCCCTCCCATGCTGGAGCCCCGATGCACGGGGAGCACCTCGGCTGCCGCCTCCTGCTCGCGCGGCGTCCAGTAGGCACTCCAGGGGGCGCGCTCGGGCCCACCGTGTTCCTCGCCGTCGACGTCACCCTGGTCCGGCTGCTCGGAGCTCGAGGCCCGCGCGCCCACGTGGCCCTGCTGACTGAGACAGCCGCGCCTCCTGGCCAGCGGTCGCACCGCCGACGAGTACTCCGTCGTCGTGTAGGCCAGAGGCCAGCGCACCCAGTCCCAGCTGCCCCGCGTGAGCGGCAGGCGCGCCCGGGGCTCGAGAGCACGAGCGGCGAGGTCGGGACCACCGGCGACACGGGGCAGCACCTCGTTCTCCGCCGAGTCGAGGGTGGTCAGCTCCCGCTGCCCGCTCGAGGGTGCGTTGGCCGCTGGCCTCCCCTCCGTCCACAGCAAGCAGGCCGTGAGGCAGACCACCGCGAACGCCACCGTCCTCATGGTCAGGGCACAATACGATTCTGTTTCGCACGGCCCTCGCTCCCAACCAGCAGCGCCCCCGCGCATGCCTTGCATTGATACCGGGGGTTATCACCGCTGAGCCGCGTTTTCGCCATGCAGCTGCTGAATTTGGCGGTCGTCGGTCGCGACTGTACGTCTCCGTCTCGGCGGCAGCCCCCGGCTCTGAGAAGAGTGCGGCAGCCCTCCGGCTCCAAGAAACGTGCCGGGCGGCAGCTGCCTGCCTCGCCTGCCTGCCTGGTTCCAAGGAACGGGCGCCCGCGCGCCCGACTTTTGAAAGGATTGCAAAGGGGGTCACAGCAAAATGAAAAGAGACGCTGGTTTATTGGATGTAGGTTTAGGGGTGTGGACGCATAGCATAATGCATCCGCGTCTAGTCGTGCGGAATCAGGTCGCTGATCTGGACCTTCTGGAGCTTCTCGTCCAGCAGCGCGGTGACGTACTTCTCGAGGACAGGCATCCATGCCTCGATGAGGGACGGCGCCAAGTCCCGCACCAAGTCAGACAGCAGCTCGTCGAGGCCTGGGTTGTGCTCCGAGGTTCCTTCGCCCTCGTGCGTGATCGCAAACTGGAGAAACAGAGGACAGAGATGAGGTATCGTTTGATATCGTGAGATCTGCAGTCGACTCTACGCGCCTTCGCTCGCTTGCGATGAATTACCTTCCAGTCCCCGAGGTCCAGTTTGATCCGAGCCGATACCACGTGCAGCTTGGCGTCGCTTAACGTGATTTTAGTGCGGGTGCGAATTGAAATATGCGGGGAAGAAAAGCTGGAAAACATCAAAGTTAAAAATGAAATAATAATTATTATTATTTGCATGACAAATATGATCCTTCAAACTTGGAACATTGGCTTTTATTTCCACGAATTTCCGATCTAAATGTACGATTAATACAATGCTGTCATGATACAGGGTGGTCTACAGACTCCTTCCTTTCTTTTGCTTATACTGTACCGCATGCAGGCGTGCGGGCGGGCTTGTCTATCGTCGCCCGTTGTGCGAGTATACAACCCGTCCGCACGCCTGCATCCCGTACAGCATCAGCAAAATAGAGGAAGGGGTCTGCGGACCACCCTGTGGTACCTGATTTTAAGGTGGTCGCGAAGGGGAATCTTGAGCGGGCTGACCCAGCTGCCCTCCCCCACCACCACGCCAAAGTCGGCGGTGAACTCTTTCAAAGAGACGTCCACCACGCCCGTTCGCTCCATCAGGTACAGGCTCAGGTCCTGGACCTCGAGCGAGGAGAGGCTCTTGGCCAGCACGCTGTACGAGGTGACGTCGAGGTGCGCCGCCTTGTTGTCCACTACGATGGGCTTGTCGGACTGGAGGGAGAAGGGGTCCAGCACGGGCAGGCCGAGATCGGGCTGACTCTTGTTCATCTTGTCCCTGAATAGGTACACCGCGTCCTCCAGCCACTGCTCCAGCTTGGTGTGTGCGCCGTCCTGGCTCACTGCAACGACAGCGAAGACATCACGCACCCTCACCCACTCAGTGTCGCGGGTTCGACGCCATGCTCTGCTCCCGTGCGCACCCCGGCGGATACGCACAAGACGCTGACGTCAGGGGTGACAAGTAACGCGGCCTGAGTCATCCCCGCGGGCATGGGCAGTTCGAAGAAAATAAGAAAAGGCTGGGGGGGGGGGGGTGGACGTCAAGTCGCCTCACCTCGTTTCGCGGATTGTCAATCGAAGTGCTCCATTGAACCCTGCAATTCCTGACACCACTGTGCCAACACATCCGGCGGTTATTCACACGGTCCTTAACGTGTGTGTGCGTATGTGTTGAGAGAGAGAGAGAGAGAGAGAGAGAGAGAGAGAGAGAGAGAGAGAGAGAGAGAGAGAGGGAGATAGAGAGACTGACAGACCGACAGAGGGAGGGAGAGGGGAGGCGTGTGTTTGTGTGAATGTGTGAGTATCCGTGTGTGTGTGTGTGTGTGTGTGTGTGTTTGTGTGTGTGAGGAACACATATACACAATTTCGGCAGCGTACTCGAGGATAATGAGGCTATTTCAGTGCTGCTCTTCGGCAGACCCCCAGTCAATGGTATAACGCCGCAATATTCGGAAATGATTATAACGACGCTCTAAATTTAACTCATCTCATCGCGTTACATAACGCCATAACGCGGGCAGGCCTCTCAACGTTACGACACGCCGCTTTCCGGTCCGTATTAATTAGGAAGTCGATAAGCAAGCGTGGCCCCGCGACCCGCGACGGTACCGCCACCAATATAATTGCATTGATCCCCCTTACCTCGCCCAAATTTTTATCTAGTATCGTGGAAACGTGCCACTCTACACCCGCGTCATGGGAGCGAGTGCGGGAATAGGCGGGGTGGGCCTTGAAGGGGGGGGGGGGGGGGATATTCTCCATCACTAGCTCCCAGAACAAGAACTTACACATCAGTACGACGTGCTCCTCTGACAAATGGCCGTTGGGGGCTCCATCGTGCAGGACCCTGTAAACCCAGACGGGCGGGGTCAAAGTTTGGTCGGAACTGACACGGTCACAGGAATTACATAAAAATATATTTAAAAAATCGCACCTTGATGAAAGACGTCCATAAAATTAGCTCCAATTATTTGGACGTAAATTAACGCATGCGTTTGTCACGTCTAGACTGGGGACGTACTTCGAAGTCATGTGAAGCTTTGTAAAAACGACCCATAAAACCTTGTGTCTTTCCCTCTATGAAAGTAAGACTTATATGCATATGACACCGCCTGATTTAAGGAAACTCGAATTGGAGTATTTAGTCATCACTATTACACAGCTCCTACGCTCTTACTCCCTTTTCCATTATATCCGCTAAGACAGGGACCAATAGGCTACCGACACGGTATCTTTGAGTAGGAGTGAGGGCAATTTTTCAGGGGGTCTTACTCGATAAATAATGTGTTCGAGTATTATTCCACACAGCGCTTGTGCCACCACTCCCGTCCCCGTCATATCCGCCTTGACGAGGACCAACTTTCAATGTAGTGCTATTGTTTCAGTAGACTTAATTCCTGTGAACTCAAATCAGAACCGTCAGAGAAGATTTTGTGGACCGATTTCTGACAGCCTCAGAAGACTTGAAAGTACGTTCACGCGGTGTGGATGTGACAGTCAAGTGCGTTAATTTGCGTCCAAAAGATTGGATGTATTTTCGAAACTTTGCTTAATTTACTAAGTGGGGTGCGATTTACCCTGCTGGACGTGTCGGACCTCTGCGTCAAAGGCAGAGAGTTCGACTGACGGTCATACACAACCTATACGGACGCTTTGATTGCATGTGTCAAGTAGCAAGTTTATGGTGTGCTCCTGGGCGTGCCGTGCCGTGCCAGGAGGCGCAGCACCACGTATGCAGCGTGAACCACTTGTTGTCGCGACTTACCCGGCGCCCTTCCCGGCGACGAGGTGAGAATTGGCCGTCGCCAATACCAGGAGCGTGGCGAGCGCGGTGAACGCGATGCAGCCCGCCATGCTTGAGTTGAGGTGTGAACGAGCGACGGCGACGTCAACAACAGTCGGGGTGGCCAGCGCACAGGTGCTCGTCGAGGTGCTCGTCGGCCCACCGCGAGTCCATTATCAGGGCAGAGATTAACCACAGCTGGGATCCAATCGGCGATCGAGTGCTGGGCACCGCTTCGCTCCCGCAGCCCCGCGAGCACGCGGGAGCGCGTCGTCGCTGTGGAGAAGGATTACAGGAGTTGTGTAGGGTGCCGGGTGAGAAGAAGGAACGGCCAATTTACAGTTCATGCGTTTATTCTCGTTTTCTTATTGTATCGTTTGAGACAAATTCCTACAGATAATTGTTTTTAATCCTCACAGTCGTTTTGCAAGTACTTTTGCTTTATGCTTTTGAAAGGGAAGGCGACTAAGAGAAAGGAATGAAAATTAGTGTAACATAAATTTAATTCATTTAAATATGTTTTTACTATACTCAATTTTTGGGCTGTGATTATTGCAAGTTAATGATAATACTTTTATAATGTATTAGATTTCGGTAGTTTATGAAAAGCTGTTGTTAGACCTGTCCCGCTGGTCCCACTATCAGGTAGAAAAAGTAATCAATGTGTATCTGTCTGACCAAGAGTTGAAAGGAAAGGACTCGTCGTGTGCGGCTTATTTTTATTAATTTATTTATAATGATCCCTCTCAAAAAGGATACAGACTTTCCATCTTATGAGATCAATCATAGGCCCTTTTAAGATTCTGATCTTAAGCATATGAATAGACTTTCGATTTAGTTTATGTTTGCCACATAGGTAACTATTCTTTTGAAAATAGGATTGTAAGAGATAGAACTGGTCAGTTATTAGGTCATCCACTAGGGCAAAAGACTGTAGTAAGTAATAACATCTACGTACTTCACAAAGCTCTCTTCGCAGCAGGCTACATTGTTCAGGAAACATAATGCAAACTTTAAACAAAAGCATAATCATCGAGAAAAGCCGATCGCGCTCGAAATTAAATCTCTGAAGAATAATTGACCGTAGTTTACATATTCAATTGATCCTCGCCTCGCTCGCTCTCGCCGCGGCTACACTGACCCGCACCTGTTACGCCCCTCCGCCGGCGATACTCCCCGAGCCGAGCGCCTGCACGGCCGCGAGCGGCGCAGCGCGGAACAGAACGGCGATACCCCGAGCCGGCGGGCTTTCAAAGACGCACCTGAAATGGACTCGAAGCGAGGAGGGTGTCAAAAGAGTGCCCAGGTCAACCCAGACCCTGTGCGCCGCCTTGTTGTCCACTACGATGGGCTTG